ACACACACTAACACAGCCTGCAACCACCCCACACAGTGTGCAAACACATACAGGCAGCACAAACACACACAGCGCACACAAACACAGCCTGGAAACCTCTGCGCGCGCACACACAACCCGCTGCCCCTTGCACGCCCTTGCACACGCATCCACAGAGCTTGCAAACCCCCCCCCCCCAAACTCACACAGGCGCACACTCAAAGCTTGCAAACGGGCTGCAAACCCGCACGCTGTGTGGGCACACGCAGCTTGCAGCCCCACAAACTTATAGGCACGCACACACACACACACCCCCCCGTGCAAACACAGCCTGTGGCCACCTGCAGACACACCTCTTGACCAAACACAGCTCACACTGTGCACGCAAACACGGTGCGCACACACACACACACATGCTCCGTCCTGCACCCGCCCTGCCTCTGCACCCCATCACCCATCCCCAGCACCCGCAGGGATCACCCGCAACCCCTACAGCCCCCAAACGCTGTCACACCCTGCCAACAGCCTCTTCTCCATCCCTCTGCAGAGCACATGCATTGCCGTAGACACACAGGCGCGCGCGCGCACACGCAGCACCCCGTGTCTGGCTGCGCCGCACTGGTATCCCCAGGCAGGGTCTGTCCCCCCCACCCCAAAGCAGGGGCACACGGTGGGTGGTGACGTGGTGGGTCCCCATCCCGCCAGCCCCCCAGGCAGCACCCAGGGGCTCCCGGGCTCTTGCTACCCCAGCGAGGGCAGTGCTGGGGTGGAAACTCGCGTTGGGGTCCCTGCCTTGGTCCCTCCCCTGGTCCCCAAAGTCAGTGGGGACATGGGGAGGGGCCTGAGGGGAGCAGGCCTTGCCAGCAGACCCCGAAAGCTCTCTCTGCCCGCTCTGGAAGGCATTCGGGGCGGGAGAGGCAGAGGGTGCGAACTGCAGCGCCTGCGACCATTCCGCCCCTCATGCCTGGGCACTGGGGAGCCTGGGCATGGTGTCCCCGACCGTGTCCCTCTCTGCCCGTGCAGGTGGCCCTGGTTGGTGAACCCAGACAGCAGTGGATGAGCGCTGGGCGCTGGCCTAGCCGCACACGCACACCGGCACCATGGACTTCGTCATGAAGCAAGCGCTGGGCGGTGAGTGGGTGCTGTTCCCTTCAGGGTCCCCGCTCCAGGAGCGATGCCGGCTCAGCACCTTGGGAGGGACATGGTGGGGGGACAGAGCTGTGGGGAGAGCCACCTGCAGTGGGGAGCTGCTGCCAGAGCCCTCCGGGGCTCCCGTTCCCAGCGCTGGCAGCGCCTGGCTGGGGAATCCCGGCTCTCCCGCTGCTAAGTGGGATTCCCCGGCGGGTCCCCTGGGTGCCAGCGCCGAAGGAGCTGCCGGCGTCTCCCCCGGCTGACGCCAAACTAGGGCAGCGCAACCAACCCACGGCACTCCCCATCCCCGCAGCCTCCAGAGCCCATCTGCAGCCGGCTCCAGTGCGGGTGGCCCCGGGGACTTCCCCGGTTGTCCTTGCTGGGGGGGTCGGTGCATTCCCTGCCTCTGCAGCAGCTTCGGCAGCCAGCGCCGGGCTACAGCACCCTTGGGGACCGGCCGATGGTTTTGTGATGCGCAGGAGCCACCAAGGACATGGGGAAGATGCTAGGGGGTGAGGAGGAGAAGGACCCCGACGCGCAGAAGAAGGAAGAGGAGAGGCAGGAGGCCCTGCGCCAGCAAGAGGAGGAGCGGAAAGCCAAGCACGCCCGCATGGAAGCCGAGCGGGAGAAAGTCCGGCAGCAGATCCGTGACAAGGTGGGCTGGGACGGGGAGGATGGTGGCCCAAGGCAGTGGTGATGGGCACAGGGCACAGCACGGGCAGCACCCACTGCCTGCCCTGCTGAGGACCTGTGTCCCTGCAGTATGGGCTGAAGAAGAAGGAGGAGAAGGAGGCGGAGGAGAAAGCTGCGCTGGAGCAGCCGTGTGAGGGCAGCCTGACGCGCCCCAAGAAGGCGATCCCAGCGGGCTGCGGGGACGAGGAAGAGGAGGAGGAGGAGAGCATCCTGGACACCGTCCTCAAGTACCTGCCCGGCCCGCTGCAGGATATGTTCAAGAAGTAACAGCACCGCCAACCCTGCCATGGGGTGCTGGGGCACGGGCGCCCTCTACCCTCCGACCCCTCCATCAGTTCCCTTGGCCCCGGGGGGGGGGTCCCTGCACACCCTCCCCAACCCCTCCTGCCCCTTCCCCAGACCAGACCAAAAACCCGCCCCGTCCCGTCCAGGCAGGGCCCCCCCCACCACGCTGTGCCAAAGGGGAGCGGCCCTGGCCGGACAGGGCGAACCGGGACCAAATGCACTGATGTAACCTCGTGGCAGGCTGGGGGCACCCCAGGCCCTACCGGCCCCCCCGGGGTGGCTCCCTGTGCCCCCTGCCCTGCCCCTCCTGCCCTCCCAGGGGACCCCGGCAGGCCTTCGCTCGCCTGCCCTCGTCCCCAACACTGCCATCCCCCTGCCCTGTCCCGCCCTGGGCCAAGCCCAAAGCACAAAGCCAGGCGCCCTGCCCGCAGCTCCCCCATCCCCAGTCCCCGGGCACGGGGGTCCCCTGGGGCTGCCTGGTGTGCCCCAGCATCGGGGGGTTGGAGGGGACCCCCCCCCCGCCCTCCCTGCATCTCTGGCCCCATAGTTAAAGCCATATCAGTTAGACTGCAATACTTCAGCACCGGGCGGAGCTGGCGCTGCGCTCCGCCGACCGTGTACAAAGGCACGTGCGGGGCAGGGACCCCCCCTGCCTCGTCCCCCCTGCCCCATCCCCACCGCTCGCTCGTCCGTGTCTCGGCCCCGCTGGCCCCCGTTCTCGCATTGGTGTCTCTGTGCCAGGGTGCGCCCCGTCGCTCCATGCGTCCTCGTGTCCGCTGCTCACGCTCCCACCCCCCCCCAATCCCTCCCCCCCAAGTCTCTGCTGTCCCCGGGGCCACCCGCGGCGCTGAGCCGAGAGCCCCCCCGCCGTGCTGCCGGGGTCCCCGCTCTGCCTTCTGCAATAAAGCCAGCGCGGGGCCGAGGGCTGCCAGGCCAGTCCCAGGCTGGGGGTGCCCAGCTGCCCCCCCACCTGCTGCTGGACACACGGGTACCCCCCCGGCCTGGGAACAGATCCCTGGGCAAGCTCCCCCGGGCATGTCCCAGGAGCCGCTGCTTGCACCCCAACGGGGGGGACATGGGGGTACGCCCTCACCCCAGCCCAGCCCCTGCCGCACCGTGCTCTCCCCTCCCCATGCTTCCTCCGCCACAGCCCCCGGCTGCTCACCTGGGCCCTCCCCAGGAGGCAGCGGGCAGCTTGGGGCCCTGCAGACATGCTGTGACCATCCTGCTCGAACTAGTCTTTGACAAACTAATAAAATAAAGGGATTTGTACATTGCTCCAGCCTCTTCTCAGCCATTGCTTCCCTGAGGCCCCGTGCCAGCTCCATCACCCCTCCATCCCCCTCAGCGCTGAGACCTGGCAGCTCATCACACTAGGGGAGGCCACAGGGCCCACCCTGGGCAGCACCCAAGGGAGGCCACGGGTGAATGGAGAGGCCACACGCGGCACCCAGAGCCCTGCTCAGTCCAGCTGCCTCCTCACACCCCTGTGCCCACCCTGCAGGCACCCTCTCTGAGGCTGGGGACAAGGTAAATGGGATGGGTGCTGGTGGGCCTCTGTCCCACAGACATGGCAGGGGAGCTTCTGCCCCTTCCCCGACTCTGGAACTCCCCTCACAGAATGACTGGGGATACCCCTGGGGCACAAGGGCCATTTCTGGTGGGGCCAGAAGGCTGTGACCCACAAGAACAAGGGCACAAAGGCTGCAGGCAGACCCTGAGTAATGAGGCAGCTTGTGCTGCCCAGCAAGGCAGGACCCCTGGCAGTGCCCAGGCTTGGCACAGCCCTGGGGATCCTCCATCCGGAGCCAGCCTCAGCTTTAACTGATTTGCCATCATTTACTAGCAAAGAGCTCAGCTGTTACCCAGGCAGCATCAGCAGAGCAGTCACCTGGAAAAGCTTCTGTCAGAAGGAAATAGTAGGGTAGGAAATGATAGAGATCTTGCAGGCAAGGTCTCTATTGCAGGCAGGGTGTGCCCACACCTCTGCGGTGACCTTCTTCCCCACCACCCAGCATGCTCATGCAGGGGGAATGCAAGCCCCACGGCTCTCCCCGGGGAGTGGGGGAGGCACTACTTGTCACCCCACCCACCCGGGGCCGGCGGCCGTGGTCTTCTGCTGGGGTCACGGATCTGCTCCGTCCCGGCGGGGTGCTGCCAGGCAGGAGCAGGGTTACTGGCCAGGGACAGGTCCCTGCGGCTGTCCCCATCCCCTGCCCAGTGTCACCGGTGTCGCTCGTCCCCAGCGTGGGGGCGCAGCGCCCCCTGGTGGCGTGAGATCGCAGGACAGCAGTGGGGACGGGACAAGGGGGGGGGGACAGCCCCTCGGCGCAGACCCCTCAGCCAGGGCCCTGCCACGGCCAAGGGGAAGGAGGCAGGGGAAGGGAGAGCAGCTCAGCACCCCCACAGCAGCCACAGGCACTTTCATTATGGAAGAGGATTTATCAAAATTAGAAAAAAACAACCACACATACAAATGAAAAAAAAATAAAAAATAAAAAAAAAGCACCCCAGCTGGGAAAACATCCCCCAGCTCGCATCCCCCCACCCTCCCCTCAGTGCCCCAGTGCGAAGGAGGAACACTGGATGTCTGGGAGGGGAAGGGGCAGGCTGCGCTCCCAGGGCTGCCCTCACCACCAGGCCGTTGGGGACAAGGGGACGGTCACGTAGCTTATCACTGCTGGGGAGCCTGGCCAGAGCAGAGCTCTTCTCACGGGAGGCTCCTCAGCAGTGACTTTCAGTGATTGACTTTCTTTGGCCACTTGCCTTTGGAACAAAGCCCCCCACACCCCAATGAGGAGGCAGCAGACCTCACTCGGATGGCGAGGGGGGCCCTGCTAGAATCCCCCCTGTCCTTCCCAGCACACAAGCTGCTTTTTCACAAACGCTCCTAAGAGTGGTACGCACAGAGCTGAGCCGAAGGTCACTGTACTGCCAAGCAGGCAAGGAACGGAGTCATCTCTTCACCCTGACCTATGCTAACTAAGCACTCTCCCACCCCCAAGAGCAGGAAAGTGCTGCCTCCCCCGGTGCGGTTTCATTAGGAGTCATTGGGGAGCCCGAAGAGCTTGACAGTGCCTGCCTCCCGGCTGCTGTCGTATTTGCCATCTTTGTCGTCACAGGCGAAGGCCAGCAGCGGCCTCTTCGGGTGCCAGGCCACTGTGAAGGTGGGGGACTCGCACTGCACCTCCCAGAGCTTCTCTCCTGCACAGAAAAGGGGCCACGTCAGCCTGGAGAGCCTCTGGCCGTCTGCTGCACGCTGCCCCGCAGCACACACCAGAGCCAAGCACCTGCTGCTTCTCTTCTGCGCAGGGCAGAGGAGGAACAGACGCTGCTTCAGCGCCTTTTAATCACCTGGTGACAAGGCACAGACATGACACACATGTCTACCACAGACTAACGAGGCAGAGGCTCCCCCTCACGGCACTCTGCACAGTCAAGCTCTTCCTTAGCAGACTAATAAGCCCAGTGCCCTCTCAGCTCCACCACCACTTCTCCATCCAATTCCCTCCCTGCTGTTCCCCAAAAGGGAAACTGTTACCTGTCTCCACCTCTGCAATGTCAATGAAGTGATCTTCTGATGCCGACGCCAGCATCTTCCCATCATGGCTAAAGCTCAGTGTTCGCACAGGCCAGTCAAGCCTGCAGCAAGAGTGAAAAAGACCGTGAGCCATCTCCCCCATGGTCACCAGAGAGGGGAGGCAAACAGCTCTGGGACAGCACTACCTACCTTGAGAAGCACCTCACACACACCAGTTCATCCACATCCCAGAGGCTGACTAACGCGTCAGCACTGCCTGTGGCAAAGTACTTCCCCATGGGATCGAACTTGATGCAAATGCAGTTTGAAGGATGGGCATTGATAGACTGAATGGGTTTCAGCTCTGGGTAGCTGCGGAGATGAAGGGAGAGGGCAGGAAGCAGTGAGAGGAGCGTAGTGCTTGTCTGCAAGCAGGGCAGGCATGAGGCACACCGGGACTGCGAGCAAATCAAGCTGGTGCAGGGCCACACTCTTGGAAATCTTGAGAGCTGAGTGAATGGGGCAAAGCATCGGGGTCACTCTCAGGGAGCCCAGCCCAGAACTGGGGCAATGTCAGCTCCAGGCAAGTTCATTCCCAGCAGAGGGCTGGGAATCCCTGGGGTGTGGGACTGGGGTTGCCCAAAAGCAGCAAAGGGGCTTGCAGATTGATGTCAGCTGCAGCCAGCCCAGCTACCCTGCCCAGCTGCTGCTACGGGCACCTACCTGAGGATGTTGATGCAGCCATTCCCATTAGTGAGGAAGAACATGTTGTTATCGTTGTTCCAGGAGATCTCATTCACCTCAAACTTGAACTGTTCCTCAGCTTTGGAGCGATGCGTTTTGGCATCAATGAAAGTGACGACATCATCCTTGTTGCCCACTGCAATGGTCTGTCCGTCAGGGCTCCAACAGATGTTGATGTTCTCCCCTGGAGGGACAGAAAGGCAGCAGGTCCCTCTTCCACCCAGCAATCCACAGCAGCCACAAGTTAAGCAGACAGGCAGCTTTTATTCCTGATCCAAGAACAGTCTGCTCCAAACCAGTCCCAAATGGGAAAGACTGCCAGGTTTGCAGTCTAACACGCAAAGCCTATACAGTAGCTGTCCAGCAAATACATACAGTTATTGAAAATCAAACTTAACAGAACTGCAGCTTCAAGCCAACATGACTACATCACTACCCTTCCTATTTCAGCCAAGATGGGACCACAGCAACCACCAAACAAGGTCAACTCAAAGATCCCCTGAATCTACTGATCGAGATCCAGGAATAGCTGAAGCCAACAATAAATGCTAATAAATGAGGGTAAGGACGTGGCAGGTTGCAGCGATGCCATCTTTCAATGCTATTTCCAGCCCAGACAACTCAAAATTGGAGATGCCCAAGGGAAGAGGTGACATCTGGGTTAACCAGCACATGAATTCAAATAATTGTTGTCTGAATCCACACAGACTTTTACTTCCAGCATGGTTTTCTGCAAACATGCCTTTCCCCAGTCTCCAGCGTTGCAGCCCGCAGATTCCAAAGACAAGCACACGGGACATTTTAACAGTCAGGATCATATTTCAGTAGTTCCTCCAGTCCCGACACTAGAGTAAATCAGCCCATGCATTCATCTGTGCTCCTTACAGATGAGTGCAACATAAAGATAAAAGCAGAGAGCTAAGATGCCCACAGGATGGGTCAAAAGCACTGTGCCACTGCAGACAGATCCCATGCAGCTGAGGTCCTGCTGGGACCCCACAGCCCTCCAGGGACTCACCCTTGGTATTGACAGTGGCGATGCACTTGGTGGTGCGGACATCCCAGATGCGGATGGTTTTGTCCCCAGACGCCGTGACGAAGAGGTCAGGGTTGCTGGGGTGCCAGCAGAGCTGATCCACACTGTCCCCGTGGCCGCGGTAGTTGTTCTCCTTCACCTGGAGAGGACGGCCATTCACGCGAGGGATGAGCCCACCTCTACCCTCCTCCTGCCCCTGATCCCAGTACCCCCGTTGCTGGTTGCCGGATGGGGCGGGAGCCCGGCCCAGAGCCCCACGGCCATTTCGGTCACACTCCCCACCCGCTGCCAGCCAGGATGGAGGAGCCCTCCCCAACTTCCCAACCAGACACCAGCTCCAGCCCCAACCCCCTGGCCCCGGCACCGGGCTCCCTGGCGATGCTCCTCTCCCGGTACAGACCCAGCACCCACTTCCAGGCCTAGCGCCGATCACCGGGGGTCACTCCCGGTTCGACCCACTTGTCCGAGCACCCGGTCCCTGGTGCCGGCCCGAATCACCGGTGCCAGCCCAAGGGCGCCCCGTTACCGGTCCGAGCAGCCGTTCCGAGCGTCTCTCAGTGCCCGGTACCGGGGGTGCTCACCAGCCGGTCCTTCTCGAGTAGGAAGACGCTGGCGGTTTTGTCGAAGGAGCCGGAGGCGAGGCGGCGGCCGCAGCAGCTCCAGGCCACGGAGTGCACCTTGGCACCGTGCGCCGGGAACTCGCGGCTCCGCGTGTTGGCGCGGAACAGCTCCTGCATGGCCTGCACGTAAGGAGACAGCGCCATGGCGGCGGCGGCGGCGCCACCGGGGCCGGGCCCGCCCCGCCCCGCCCCGCCGCCGCCCCTGACGCAGCTTCCGCCGCCCGCCCGCCGCGAAGATGGCCGACGGCGCCGTCCTCATAAGCGATACGGACTCTCAGGGCAGCCGCTCGCCGCCGCGCCGGCGTCGGTACCGCCGCCCGCCGCCCGCTGCGGTGAGTCGGCGGCCGCTGGGGCGGGGCGGGGCGGCGCCTTGCCCCTTGCAAAGATGGCGGCGCTTCCGCCCGGGCCAGAGGCGCGGTGGCCGCTTGTGGGCGGGTAGGCGCGAGGCCCGTGGAGGGGCAGCTCGTGTGCCGGGGACGCCGGTCCCCTCAGTCACGTCCTTCCCAGGACAGTCCTGGCCCCACCAGCCTCCCCCACGTCCCCTCAGCCACCTCCCACCCGCAGCGATCCGGTCCCCAAGCGGAGGCGGGGAGGTGGTCGCAGCCCCCTTGGCCGTGTGTCGTGTCCCCCCCCCCCCCCACCCAGGAAAACCCTCTGCCACGGAGTGGCTTGGTCCCCTCGGCTGCACCTCGAGGGGGGTTTCAGCCCCGGGCCGTGGTGGGGCAGCCACCATCCCCCTCACCTGGGCCATCCCACGGACAGGGCAACGCCAGGCCGGTGCGGCAGCGGTTCAGGGCGTGAGGCCGTTGGGGACGCACAGCCCTAGATATGGGGAGGGGGGCAACGGTCTGTCCACCCCACCCCAGGTGCTGTTGGGCCCTGGATCTGATGCGGCTTTCAAACACCAGCGGCTTCACAGCGTCTGGCAGAGCAGGGGCAACCCCCGGCCCTCCACGGCTCCCCCGAGCACAGGAGGCCGGCTGGGTTTTGCCACCTCCCCAGGCAACGCGCGGCCCCTCCTTGGGAAAGGCAGCAGGTCTGAGTCAGGGGAAGAAAATGGATTTAAATTATCCGCAAAACGTGTTCCCGCTTTGAGACGCTGAGGGGTTTTGTTTTGTTTTTTAAGAGTGAACAGGATCTGACCCATTCCAGGCATGTCGAGATCTTGAAAAGCGCCATGCCCTGCCTAGCAGTGGTGTGGACACAGCTGCCTGCCCCATGGACAGGCGCTCGTCCTCGGAGCTCCGGGTGCTCCATTACCTGGTGATTTCTGGATGGCAGTCCCCAAAGCCTTGGGACTGCCGTACCTCGGGCTTGGCGCCGTAGATGCGAAGGTGGCTCTGTTCCCTGCCACTCGCATCCGTGTAGCAGGTGAAGTCGTGCCACAGGGAGGGCTGCCGAGGGGCAGATCCTGCACTGCTCCTGCCAGCGCTGGGTAGGACCCCCTGGGGATGGAGGGTAGGAGCGCTCGCTGCACTCCCCTTGCCCTCCTCAGGCACCCCAGCACGACTGGCATTTTCCCATCCCAGGATGGAGCTGAGCAGGCAGCCAGACCCACTCTGGGCCAAGGCGAGAGGTGTTTGGAGCAGGGGACACAGCCATTTGCCATAAGGAGCCCCGCAGGGGGGGGCAGGAGGTTTGTCTCTGCCAGCAGTGAGGAAGAAGAGCTCAGGTCAGTGTCGGTCTCAGCCGTGCTGCTGGGGCAGGCTGACACTACATCTTGGTGCTACTACTCCCCCAGGCTGTCCCATCCCCTCAGCCAGGCAGTGGGGTCTTTTCCCCCCGTTTCTTTTCCTGGGCTGGTACCAATGAGCCCCTTTTCCCCCTTGGGCTAGGGCGACGGTGCCACCACAGCAGAGGTTCCTGGCAGCGGAGGACTGAGGCACCTCAGGTGCCACCACCGCTGACAGCACTGGCCCCCCTCTTCCTGCAGGAGATCATCGATCTGACCTGCGAGGACACGAGCACAGACCCGGCACCACCGAGCAGCCTCACCATCATTGACCTGACAGAAGACACATGCATCCCTCCCCACACCGCTGGCAAGGCTGACCAGGACCCCGGGCAGGCGCCCGCTGGCCCAGCAGCACACACATCCCAACCCCAGCTCTGCTCTACCACAATGCAAGAAACAGAGGCAGTGGCAGGGCTGAGCCCCCCAGCACCCTGTCACGGTGCTCCTGAAAAGCCCGGTGGCACCATGGACACAGCAGAAAGTATGGAGGACTGGAGGTGCATGTCTCCCAACTCCTCATGCAGCTCAGAGCAGAACTGCAGCACTACCACTTTTAACAGTGACTTGGGCTCCCTGGCCAGCATGCAGCTGGACTCAGACCTTCTGTCCCCCTCCAGCCTGGACAGCAGCAGCTGGAGAGCCAGTAGCCCAGAGGAAGAGACACCCCACCTCTTCCAGCAAAGGGAGTTCCCCCCAAGGCTAAGCCCTGCCCCAGCCATCCCCACAACCTCAGGGAAAGCCCAAGGGCCTTTGCTGGTAACTGGTGACTTACCACCACATGAAGGAATCCAGCAAGTGACCCCAGCCAGGACCAAGGCTGACAACAAGGGCTGGCTGAACAAACTGCATTATTTCAGGAGAAGCGGAGTCCAGCACCTCTTTCTCCAAGGCGAAGCATCCAACAGGGAAACACAGCAGGTAAACAGGGTTCAGAGCAGCCGCTGCCAAGCCCAGCCAGAGCCTGCTCAGAACAGCCCCTGCAGTAGAGGATGGAACAGGGGCAGCCCCTGCTCCGCTTCCCCTTTTGGGGGAAGCTTTGCCAGGCAGTTGGGATCCCTGGTTATTGCAATTCCCTTCACAGTGGGCCCTGTGTCACAGCTGGGTTCCTCTCTGTCAGTGGGAGCCGGCTTTCACCCATTGCCTTGCCTTGTATGCAACAGGAACCTGAGCTCATCCCCAAAGGGAAGCTGAGCATGGTGCACACCACCATGGAGGAGAACTTCCTGGAGGGCACCTTGCATTTCCTGAGTGAGTTCGTCTCCTGCCAGCACTGTCCCCCCAGAGAAATCATCTCCCACCTGGTCAGACAGATGCTGTTGAACTGCCACCAAGGCGAGATCCTGAAGGACACCTACATGTTGCTGATGAAGATCCAAATGTACGTGTTCCCTTTGCTAGGTGCTCCTGGGGGCCTGCCCAGCATAAAAGTTATTCTGCCTGGTCCTCACCCACAGAACAGGGAGCGATTTCCCCTATAAATCAGGTTGATTCTCCTGCCTTCTGTTATCAGCACAGGCACACTCCAGGTTGTCTGAGGATGGGTCAGAGGCAGCCTGTGACACCAGGAAGCCCTCTAGGGCAGAGGAGTGTGTTTGCCTTGCTCCTGAAGTGCAGTTCTCATTCTTCACTGCTGTGACATGGCAGAAACTCCTTCCCTGGGCTGCAGCAGGGGCTATGGGCTGGAGGTGTCTGGAGTGGTTCCCCCACTGCCCTTGGTGTTCCCGCAGAGAAGACAATGTTTTGTGAGGCATGAGCCCAGGAGTCCTGAGCCTCTCCATGGAGTACAACCCCAGTCAGGTGCTTCCAAAAAAGGAACGCAGTTAGGGGAGGAGAAGGAAGGCAAGGCAGGCCGCTGAGCAAGTGGGATCAGAAAGGGCTGGGGAAGGGCCAGGGGCTGCCATGCCTCCAAGAAGACAGTTGGGGAGTTCATCACAAATGGACAGTGCTGTCTTTGCAGGCTTCATCCAGCCAACGCTGCCACAGTGGGATGGGACTGGACGCTGCTGAAATACATCATGGAGGAACAGGTACTTGGCACCACGCGAGTCACGCTGGGCAGGGGTCATCCAGTTCGCTGTACCTGAGGGTAAGCTTTGCCCCAGGGCCTCATGTGGCAGTGCTCTGCTGCAGAATGGGCTAGTCCAACATGCAGTTTTACTGCAGCCACTGAGGGCAGCAAGTCCCAGTTGGGTATCTGGCATTTGTCCATGGTGCTCCCTAACCTGTTGCACAGCTGGAGGCAGGTTGTCTCATCTGGAGAATGCACAGCAACAGATAAAGCCTCTGTGGGTCCCATCCCTAGTACAATGGTAGAACAGGTCCAGCAATGCCCCTAGGGCATCATCTGAGCCAGGCAGCCCCTCCTGGAGCTATTCCTCAGTCATATACATCTGCCCATTCCCAATACAGACAAATTCCTTAGTGTTCCCTCACCCTGTGGCTCTGCTAGGCTCATACAATCCATCTGCCCTCAGGAGAAGCCCCCTGGCTGGCTCCTCTTCCTGCAGTACGTGGTGCAGACCCTGGAGGACGACTTCCAGCAGAACCTGAGGTTGCGCCTGCTGCAGAAGTCAATTGGCAAGAAAGTGCTTTCATGTGACATGTGCTTCAACAATGTCAAGTAAGTGACCCCACCTCCTCCCCTATTCTCTAACCAGATGCTGAGAGGCAGGGGCTCAGGAACACTTGTCAAGACTCCAGGTCAGACTTTCAGACTTACCAGGAAACAACTTTGGGAGACAGAGGGAAGAACAGGAGCAGGTTTACAAAAGCAAACCATCAAAGATGATGCAAGGCATTTACAGCTGCAACGTAGCGGGCTTTTCCCACAAATGAGGTCAGATTTGCATTGCTCAGGACAGGACTGAGGAGGAGACAGGCCTGTTGACAAGTATATAAGTCTGCTGCTCAACACAGCTACTCCCTAACCTATCCAAGTGGGTGGGATGTATTCTTCATCCTTGGGGTCTTTCAAAAAGCTCCAAGTGGATCTAGAGGTCAGAACACAGCAAAACCAGGCCCATCCCCACTAAAATTCCTGGTTTTGTTGCAGGGAGGTGGTTGAATGGTTGGTCGCAGCAGTTACAGGAGTCGGATTCTTCCAGCCCCAAAAGCAGCCACAAGAAACTGCAACCTCTTCAGCAGAAGCAAGGGCCGAACACAGCTCATCTGCACCATGTCAGGCCAGCACTGACCACGCAGAGGTGGCTCCGCCAGCTGTCTTCACCCAGAAGTAAGTCCCAGAAGTCCTGACTCCCTGCAGACATTATTCAGGGGGCTCAAGTCAGGGAGAAGCCAGAGTATCTCCCTGTCAAGTCAGGGAAGCCAGGCTGTACCTCTGACCAGTTTTGCTGGTTCTTTGGGCTAGAGATAGACTTGGTGAGCAAGAGACTTCATCACTTGGTAGGAAACTGGCTCAGTAAGCATCCTTCTCTTGCACATAGGGCTGGAGCTCTTGGCCCACATCTCAGGCTGCCCCACCAACACTCAGTAGAGCCACTGAGACTTCCCAAGGGCCCGTCTGGGGATTAGCTCTGCTTCCAAGAGCCTCAGATTCAAAAGCCACCAAAAGGCATCAAATCTAGCCTACTACATTCCCCAGTATCCCTCACTGCGAGGCACAAGGCTGAACTAGGTGCCATCTCCACTGCTTTGCTTTGCAAGCTGAGGGGTAGTGTCTCCTAGCATTGACTGTCTCTCTAACCTAGGGCGATGCTCCTGCTCCAGCGGATGTTGTCCATCGCAGTGGAAGTGGACAAATCTCCCAACTGCAGCTCCTGTAAGATCGCAAATGCGATGTTCCCGTTTATACTGAATATTCCCCTGAGGAGCCAAAGGTGAGACAAACATGCAGAAGGCGGCATCTGCCCGTGTGAGCAAGAATCTTATTCCTGATTTACATCCAAGTCTGGATGCATGAAACACCATGGGGTATAGAAAAACAGGCTCATTTTTGACCCAGCCAGCAAACGCATGGCTCTTTGACTAACAGATCCCATGGAGATAGAACAGCACCAGCTGATCACATCTACCTTGCTCATTTGTTGCTCAGAAAAGTTGATTCTCCCACTTGTTAAAGTTGCAGGACCTTAAAACTGTAAAAAGGGTCTGAAAAGCAGAACTCTGTATCAGCATGGTCAAGCACTGGCAAACACATCACTTATTCCCAGGGACAACTGAGAAGCTCATCAGAAATATGATGCAGTTCTTGCAGCTCTGCCTTGACATGCTTTTGTTTGCTTCTCTAAGAAATGCGGTATCTGAAACCAAAGCACAAGGGCCTGACTGGCTCTGGCATAGACACGAGACCACTAGACCCACAGACATTTCAAACCCATGTTTGCCAGCCCCAGCAGGAAGTCCTTTCAGACCCTTTTAGCAGAACCTTTGAGCACACACCAAGTCTAATCAAGCCAAACTGACTAATCAAGCTATTGCTCCTTCCAGGACAGATCTCCTAGATCCAGCTGGCCACTGACCCCACTTCACACTTGCTTGGCTGTGCTCCCTGCAAGTCAGCAGAAATGAGTAACTTCTGCACAGGCTGCTGGGCAGGGTGAAGTGAAGCAGCTAAGCTTGTTTCACAGACCGTAGCGACCTCAAGTTGCCACAGGTCACACCTAAGGACAGAAATACGTCCATGGCTGAGCTGCATAATGACGGTCTCTCTATCACATCTGGTGGTTTTCCTTCCACTGTGCTGCTGGGCAGCCCCTGCACCAGATCAGCACCAATGGGACACCAGGAACATACTAGAGCAGTTGTCTCTGGTCAGGCTGTAAATCCCTTTGTTTTCCAGAGAAGCTTTCTTAAACACCATGGAGAGCCAGCTCCTACGCTGCAGACTGCTAGAGCTGCTGTTCCAGCATAGCTGTGAGGTGCCCACAACCTTGCCCTTGTCTCTGGCCAAGATCCTGTACTTCCTGAGCCACTTCTCTGTGCTGCTGCAATACCAGGTACCTGATTCAACCTCTCCTTTGCCTTGTTCTCTCCTGAGAAAACCTTTTCTAATAACCAAATATTGTCTGCTGTCATAGGATGAAACAACAACATGGCAAAAATGGGATGAAATGCTGCAATACTTAAGTTTGCTGCTGACAAGTTACCAAAGTGTAATCCTGGGTAAGCAACCTGTTCTGGCCTTAATAAATATGATCTCATCAAAAGGCTGCAGTACAACAGCCAAAGTACCCTTCCTCCTCTCTTCTCAGCACTCTTGAACTCATGGCCACTGAGTCTTAGAAGGATAATGTGCCTCCATCCATGCTAGTAACTACTCCCAGCAATCAGAACAAAGAAGTGATACTGCTTCAAGCAGAGAACCCAACTTGCTTTGCCAATTTTAGCCCCTAAGAAACAGAATACTTCCCAAGGATCAGTCCCAGCACTGAGAAGTACACAAGGGTGTGCTTTGTACCCACTGTTGTCTAAGCTGCACACACTGTGGGTAGAAGAATAGGGTGGTTTAGGAGGAAAAGCAGAAGGCAAAGGGATGGTAAGGCCAGGACACTCACCATTTGGTAGACTGGGCAGGGAGCACCACCCACAGTAGTCATGGAAACAGCAGCAATTTCTGACCCCAGGAGAGCAGCGCAGTCACAAAATACCCCCTAAAGTCATTTTACTAGGAAGTTCCTTGAAGTCTCTTCCCATCTTCTGCTGCTTTAGCCCAGGGTTAAGGCTCTCATGGAGGAATGCAGAAGAAATCACCACCTCACATGCAGTCTTACTCTCCCTGAAGCCCCAGATAATCACTTGTTGATAAGCTCTTTGCAGCCAGACAGCTGTCCAGTCTGTCACCAGCACAGGAAAAAAGGACGTGACAAGCCCTGCCCCCTCACCATTTCTTGAGCTCTGTCCCTGTGCAGACTGGCCTCCAGGAGGGGACAGTTCCTTCTTCTGCCAGGCTAGTCTTGTGCAGCAGCATCAAGGATAACCACGAGAGGCCCAGCACAGGTCCCACTGTGTGGTGCCTCTCCCCACCAGCATTTCCTCTTGCAGAGCACCTGAGGAGCTCACTCAATGACCGAATGGACTTGATCATTCAGAAAGCCAAGCCCAAGCTCCAGAATGACGATGACATCAGCAATCTGGACATTCAGCTGAATATGGAAGACTTAATCAGCCGAATGCAGCAGGTCCTGGGGCAGCCTTTTCCCCTGCAGATCATGGAGAAATTGTGCATCCTTCGGGAGTTGTTCCTCATTGTCACTGCTACCTGATGGAGACAACCACTGCAGCAGGGGGCATGGAGAGCTTCAGGTTTCCTCTACAAAACCCCATCAAAATCCCCATCTCATGCTGCAGTTCCAAATGTCATGAGTTTGTTTATATGTTTCTTTTAAAAAAGGGTTTACCTGGTTTCAGAATTTCCTATTTAACTTGCCTTATCCTACAGTTTCACAAGGCACTTTGTACACTTTTAAAAAATAAATTATTTTCATATTTGCTGAGAGTTCCACCTTGGTGCCAGTCCTACCCAAATAAAGCGCAGAGTTCTGTCAGCTCTACCTTGGGATAGCATTAGACTAATGCAGCCATCAACTCTGACAGTAGTTTGCACAGCAAGCAAAATACCTGTTCAAGATTTAGGAAAAGGTAGTAGTATTTAAGAAAAAAAGCAGGTGTGGGCTGCACTGAGGGCATTCACTGTGCAGGGATCTCCAAAGCCATGCTGGTCAGTCCTCAGGAGAGGAACACTGTCCCAAATCAAATACACCTATGTGACTTGCCCCAAGGAGATCAGCATGTCAAGAGGGAAGACTGGATAGCAGCATCAGCTGAAAAGGCTGCATCTCTTCCCAATGCACTGGCATGTCTGCAGTGCAGGCAAGCATGCATGTTATGATGAATATTCAATTCAGATACATTTCATCACTTCTGCTAACACTCTAGAACCACAGAAACACCAGTGTTCAGCTCAGACATCCCTAGCCCAGGAGATGCGTGTGCTCCATCAGCCATACTTCAGCAGCTACAAATGCAGCAGCACTCAGACCAGCACTTTACAGAGGAAAGCAAAGCAGAGGTGGCTGCGCCACTGGGAGCTGGGCACCTCTAGGCAAATACCAGTCTGGCTCCTGCACTCGTGCCCATCTCCACAGTACAGGTGCAAACACAGCACACAAGCTGCAAGAGAAGCAATCTCAGGAACACAAAGAATCACCATTTGAATAGCTCAAGAAAACACAAAGATTTCATGTTTAGTTCCATCTGCACAAGCCCTAAGACAGGACTGAGTGTGGCTTTAAACCTAGTTTCCCTGTCAAAAGGGAGTTTTACAGAGCAAACATTTTACCCTAGCACAAGCACTGCTAGAGCCTTAGGAGGCAGAACCTTGACACCAGTCACTACACAACCCCACATTTCTTCCACAGATGCTTTGCCAGCACCAACACACACCAAAGACCTCCACTCACAAGGATTTTATTTTCTTGTAACAAACAAAAAAATCATACATTTTTAGAGACATGAATACAGACAACAAATAAATTAATGTAAAATGAGACACTGATTGCCAAGGTGCAAATGAGTGGTGACAGTGAAAACTGTTTGGTTGGGTGGTAGACTTTCAACACATCATTGGCAGTGCTGCTGAAGCTCAAGAGGAAGCAAAGCCACAAAACGTGCTTCTTCAGAGGGGACAGCAACTAGCCGAGTGAGCCAACCTTGCCTCACCCTCTGGGAGGAATGTTTGGTTTAAGGCAGCAGAAATCCCAGAGCTCAAGGGTTACCAGATGTTAAATAACCTCTGTATAATGCCCTGGCAACAGAGAAGATTCTAGTACCAGATGGAAAGCTGCTGCTGCCACCTCACCACCACAGAAAGCCTGGTGCTGGCTGAGGGAGCTCTGCAACGATCCGATCAAGAGAGAGGAGACCTGTTTGCCTCAGAACAGGTGAACATCACAGAGCAACACTGCCTATAATGATTAAGGGATTAGATGGTAGCCGAATGTTCCTTCCACTTTTCATGAAAGCAAGTGTTAGTTGTTCCCAGTAACTGGTTCTGACTAGGCCAAAAATTACATATAACTGTGTCGTAGCCAGGAGGAATGTTTAGCCCTGATCTGCCCTCAGTCCTCCCCCAGCCCTGCAAAATGCATTTAATGCTGATGAAACAAAAAAACCCTATTTGAGAAGTGCCCTTGATGTCTAATACACTTCTACAGAATTCATAAAATATATTAGGAAAAAAACCAAACAAATCAAGCAGCACCCAGAGTGCCAGAACATCTGTAAGCCTGTTGTCTAGGAGAAAGCAGGACAGTGTTTTACAGAAAGGAGAGAGGATTACTTAATTCAAGCCACACCAGATCTGGTCATTTCCACCTTTTTGGAGAAATATGAAAAATTGGAAAAGAAGCAATTCTTACTTGTTACTGCCAAACCCCATTAGTTTCTGCTCCCCGCCTTTCTAATAAAAGCATCTTAGAATGCTTACTGTTCCACTTTTCTTTTAAAAAAATTCCAAAAAACAGACAAGCACTAGGTGTTGAACTGTAAGGTCACACTGGATAGTAAGGGAGTACCACATTTAAAACTGACCCGCCACATTCCCAGAGAAACTTTCTTCTGGCAGTTAATGGTCCAGTTTTCAGTTCTTGTTTTCATAATTTTCTGCTGGTGTTCCGTATACGCCAGACAGAACCACAGTCCTCCTGAGGGTACTTCAGCACTGAGCAGGACAAGACAATCAGACTACAGGTAGACAAGCCAGCCTGCTTGCACACCACATGCAGTCCTGTCCCACAAAACATGGCTGAAGGTCTTACTGTGGTGTTGTGTACTGGGAAGCACACCTGGTGCAGCCTAGCAAACCAGTGCCATATAGCAGACAGGATGGTTTACATTGGTTTAGTACTAGTGCAGGAGTTTTTCCAAGACTGGCTTCAGGAGGACAATCACAACTTTTTCTGAGATGAAGAGCTGGAAGGAGACTTTCCTATTTTACTGCAGCACAATGGGACAGGGAAGTAGAGCCTAGGATACCCTGTAGCCCACTAAAGACACCAGAAGCATTCTTCCTAGAACCCAGTAGGAGTGAGCACATTCAGATCCCGAGGTTTTATATTATGAGAACGTGGAGATTGTTTCCTCCCTTCTGTGACTGGAACGTCCATTTTGGGTGGCTTGAAGGTGACTGGATCCTCTGGCATCCTAGTAGCCTGAGCACGCATCAGCTCCATTGGGGATGGCTTCTGGGCACCCTTATAGGATTGGATGGTAAATCCTCCTGACAAAAAGAAATCACAGAAAGTAAGAGCTAGGAAAACTAGCCAAGTCCTTTTTCCACTGCTGCCAGGAATGAGCAGTGTCACTGATACCCAACACTGCAGAAAGCTTATGCAAGACCCAGCAGCTTCATGCCATCGAAAGCCTATTCCACATAAGTAGCCAGCACTTCCAGGTCTGGTTCCACCAGACAGTAGAGTAAAAAGCTGTCACCTTCACACCCTGCCCTTTCACTGTAGCTCAGTGCAAGTTACGCCTAATTTCAGATCCTTGGCATAGGTTTTACCTAACTGCTTTATATTTAGGCACAGAAACGATACAAATAGCACACATTCAAAAGGTGGTCCTAGAAAGTAACAAGGTAAGCAGAGTAAGACTCCAGAAATAGCTGGCAAGTTTGTTATGTGACAGTTCTCCCCTAGCTCTTGTAGTGCAGGAGATTTTAGAGGACATACCTGGATCATTGGTGGATTTCTGGATGGCTTTGGGTCCAAAAAAGCTCCACCTTTCAGATGGCAATTTGTCCCCACCAGCTTCCATGGCAAAGTCTGGGCCAGTGATAGAAGTAGAGGATCCCTGACTAAACCAACCCCTAGGGAAAAATTATTGAGATGTATAAAACATGAGAATACATCAAGTGGCTCCACTGTGCCAGGAACTTTACATGTAGTTATCAGGGACAACTTAAATGATCTTTAAGTTTGTTACTACCCAGAATTAAGATATGTATGCTCAAGTTTCACACAGTTTCAATACTTGGATCTATCCAACAGATCCACAGCAGACTCTGAATTTCACCCCTTACAGTCCCTCCCTGGAAAATAAGGTTTTTTGTAGCAGCTCCCACCTCAGCAGCCTATAGGAAACCAAAGGAGGCAGTGGTCTGCCAGAACAGAGTACCTGGTTTTATGCTTGGGAGAGGAGTGGGGAGTGCTGCTTGGAGTGGACTGAGCAGAAGAAGTCTGTTTGTCATCTTTTGTCATCTCTCCACTCTGCATTTTTAACTTCTGTTAGGTGAGGCAAGAGAAACACGGAAGCAGCACAGCTTAAATACATGACATAAAGAACAAACAGCTAGTTTTATTGTCAAAACTGGACAATTATTCATATCATGGGTGATAAAGGATTGAAGTGTCACTTCACCTAAAGCTAAACCCAGTATTACAATACTTGCATACATCCCCTAAGATTTCCACATCAGATAAGCAATTAGCAAGTCCACTATGCTCAAGACACATCATCCAGGTTGGAGAAAGCAAAATAACACCTCGAGCTTACTCTGCAATTCAGAGTCACTACACACAAGTAGTGCACTGCTTCAATACCAACATTCATAGGGAGGTTGTGTATGTAGCTCAGCTAGCTTACACATCAGTTCAGCTACCTGATGATAAGTCCAAATGTCACAGCAACATTTGTCTGCAGCACTTTTTAAAGCGACAAAGCTTTCAGTCCCACAAGTTCTCTGGTGAAGGTGAGACCAGACCTCTTACAGAAGGTACAAGGTCTAGGAGCACTAGACTCCAAGAAGTAATCCACATACAACAGGATGGAAACACAGCTCTAGAACAGAGATGAACCGTATTTGAAGAGTACACCTGGTCATAAAATAAACAGGAACTGGGTATATGCGAACCAGGTTATTGCAAGTCAGACAGTACAAACTGAACTTTGAAGTCACTTGAAGGGCAGTTATAGTTCAAACACCAACACAGGCACCTTCTCAGAATGTTTCCTGTGACTATTCAAGCCACACTAATGCCATTCATGAACGCTGTTACTGAAACTTTGACCTTGTGGGAGTACACTTAGAGAGTTCTCTATTAAATTCAAACTGCAAGGTTACTGTGGGCAACTGAGCTCATCAGAAACATGTTGATTTAAGACCGCCATCTTTATTTCTATTAAGAGGCAAGCCCAATTTCATCTTCTAAATTCCACATCAGAAATGCATGGTTTACAAGTTCTCTTGGGACAAACAGTTACAACAGTCAACTGCAAGGCACTAAAGGTACAGTAAGAAACTAGATTCATGCAGGGATGTCCCCACTTGAAAAGACACTGTGATAGTCTGACATGACTGTGGAATATGACAGGTTTCAGAAAAAAAGTTTGTTTCAAAACTATAAAGACTAACACAACTTTAAAATGTAAGTGGGTAACCTTTTTCACACAATGAGCTAAAGGACTGCAGAAAAAGCAGTTTAAGGAGAGTCCTAGAAACATGCTCCAAAAGTTATGTCACCAGGTACGTGTTAGGCCAGTAGAAAACCTACACGGAAAGCCAATGCAAGACAAGCCTTACGTGGACTGCCTCAGCCACTCGGTGGTACTTGGTCTCCTCAGTAGTGAGGCCTTTGTGGGGAGTGTAGCCAGCATCTCTCAGCCCCGCCTGCTGCTCAAAGCGCTGAATGCTCTCCTGAGTCTGCTCTGGAACAGACAAGAGCACATACTCACACAGAAATGCCACCACAAACAGTTCTAGAAAACAAAGGGACTTAAGCAATGGAGACCCTTTTTTCATCGTTCATACCTACATGTTGTGATGAGTTGACAGAGGGAGCAAAATGAAGCTAAAGAGATACTCTGACTCGAAAACTCTGAGTCATAGGGCTGAGTCAGATGTACAGTGATTTGTCCCAAATCATCAGATATATTACAAATTTAACACCTGTAATTAAACCCATCTCACCCAAAACCTGCATCACTCTTAGTTACAATTTTCTAAATCTAGGAGACCCCAATAAACTGGACATTTTAAGCGGCCCTCTAGATTTCAGGCAGTTTTTTTTGGCCAACGAAAAATGAAGTCTTTCACTGCCCACTCTAGGTAATCTAACAGTCACAGCCTTGCAGAACAGGTGGTAAATACTCTCAGTGATTCCAGATTAGGTGAAATAAGCTATTTCAGCCAAATACAGAGCCAGCACCTAATACACTGATGATCAACTTCTGTTCTGAAAAATATAATCACTCCCCCACCACCCCCTCCCCACCACTACCAGCATAAGATGTTCACTCCCTAGTGGAACTAAGAAAAAAGTCAAAAGTAGTTAGAGCACAAAAAGATTACTGGAAAAGTCCAATGTCTTCTTTCAAACAGATAACACTTCCCATGTTATTTGCAGGGGTGGTACACTGTATATGAGAAATCTATAGGACCTTTGTTTATTTCCAACTTGTGACTGAATGACCTTCCTGGGAGGTGTAGGTTGGGGCTCCTGCCTTCTTACTGCACAAAAACATTTTTAGGCCATCATAGTTTTAACTATATTAGCATTTTATCATTAGATCAGAACAGGAGCTGCTTTCCAGAAGGAAGTCCATATTCCTGGATGTTATTTTCTGATGTGTTGGTTACTTTTGAGCCAAGAATGAAATAAAATGCAAATTCATAGCTATTACAAAATGCTGGTCTGAAAATCTAGAAGTCTTTGGAAGCACAGCTTGAAGGAAAAGCTGAAGCTCGTATCCCAGCTGTTAAGAGAGACAGCAGGGACAGATTAACACATGAATAATTTCTCATTGCAAATGGGCATGTCTTCTCTGCAAACAAAACTGACCCAATTTGATTTTAAAGGATCATGATTTATGAGCTTTGTTTTTTTTAAAGCAAGTGTTACTGTCAACAAGACAGCTGCTGCTGCTATTAACTAACACAAATGCCAGCAAGTGCTCCATTAGCACAGCATGTCAGCTCTCCACACCACTTAGGTTAATTTTAGAGCTCTACCTGTCATTCAGAAATAGCAAGTTAATAAGCAAACAGAGTAGCAGCAGCAGCCACCACCTCTGCACTGCAGCAACAAGGTGGCATGGACTGCTGTGTCCTATCAGTAGATAATGTACCCTGCACCCCTACCTCATCACTCATCTCCAGCACTTGGAAACACAGAGGCAGTAAGTGTGGCCTATTCCCTAGTTCCTTGCTTCCTTCTAGAAGCATCCTCCAAAAAAATAAAAATCTCATAGAGCTCAAGAGTAGAATCAGTCTGAACCCACAAGCTCTCCAGTAACTCTGGTAGTTACCTTGAGGCATTACCAAGCTGGAGCACACTCATGTGCCCACAACCCACTAGCCACATTAGAGGTGAGCATTCTTACTTGTAATGAGAGAGTTCATGATGATATGAGTGGCCTTGGCCTTCACCACGGGTACCTTGTTCACACTTTCAGTGGACGATGACGGAGTTATGACAGGTGCATTCATATTGCCATCCCCTTCCTCAATCTGTGGGGAAGAAGCAGGGTACAGTTTAAGATGAGAAATTACCTCAGCACCTTGCCAAGACACATCTCTAGCTACTCAAATGAGATACAAAGCCAAGCTGCTCTAGCAGCTAGCCTTCATCCCATGGAAGAAATCCACACGCTGTTCTCACTACAGCCCAGGAACATTTAGAGCCTGAACTTCATAACTCGTAGCAATGGACAAGCAACTTGCATCCAACATTTGACAACGTGCCAGGCTCAAAGCCAACAAGATGTTAGACTAAGTACAAAAAGGTCAACAGGAAAGAAACCAGAACATATCTACTTCCATTCTCATAGCTGCAAATCAGACTTCAGGATCAACTGGGCAAGAACACCCTTCCATGGACAACTCAGAAACACAAGCTATTTACAAAATGGCAGCCACACAGATTATAGTCTGGTGTTTAGATATTGTTTTCCCCCTCATTCCTTGTATCAGTTTCCTGCTCAGCGTATCTAGTGGTCATAGCTCCACCACTGATCACAAGACCCTAAAAAAGAACAGTGAGAGCTAGAAAACAAGAAATCCTCCTGTGAAACAGACTTCCTTCTCCTAACACAGGAGTTACTGTTTCCTGACTGAACAGTTTGCTTTTTGTTCCAAACCACAACTTTAGGCTTTCTTCCACGAGAAGGATTTTAAACCAAAAGGAGGTGAAAAGTAGAGGTTAAGCTCAAAAGGATGACGAGTTATTTACTTCCATTCAACAACATTTAACTTCACCTCAAACTTAGAAAATAGCTTCTGAATTTAAAAGAGTGGCCCTGCACTCAAAAGCATCCCTACAGTCATTTAATAGAACAGCCTAGGTTGACAGGGACCTTTAAAAGCCACCCAGCCCAGCTCCCCGGCTGCAGGCAGGGACATCTTTCACTCACCAGGTTCTCAAAGCCTTGTCCCACCAGACTTTGAACACTCCCAGGGATGGGGCATCCACCCCCGGGCAGCCTGTCCCAGCGCCTCACCACCCTCACCATAAAGAATTTACATCCGACCGAAACCGACCCTTCTGCTTTGTCTTAGTTACATCTGGTTACAGCTTGAGGCTTTTTTTTTTTTTTTATCCATAAGGGACTCCCGCAAGACGCCTGTCAACCGTCCCTCAGCGTTCCCACACCGGGAGCAGGCAGCAAAGCCGGTCTCCCGTCCCCCCCGGCAGGTCCCTGCTGCGGCGCCCGGGGGGCGGCTCTCCCGGCGCGGTGCTACCGCGGGCAGAGGAGCCGCGCCTGGGCCGGGCCCACGGCGGCAACCGGCCGGCCCGTACCTTCGAGAGCTCCTGGTACTTGCGCTCGGGGATGACCGGCTGCTTCCAGAGGACGTTGGCGCACAGGTCGGCGGGCGGCGGTGTCATGGGCGCCGTGTCCTCCAGGGCGTCGTCGTAGCTGAAGGCCCGCCGCGGCACACCGACGGGCAGCGACATCTTACCGGGGCGGGCCCCGCCGCCCTGCTCCAGCGCTGCGAACGGAGCGGGCAGCGCTCAGCGCCGCCGCGGCCTACCCGGGCCGGCGGGGGCGGGGAGAGAAGGGCGGGGGGGAGGGCCTTACCGGGAGCGTCCGGCTGCCGTGAGCTCATAGCGGCGCGGCTAGCGAGGCTCGGCGGGGGGCGGGGGGCCGGGCGGTGCCATGGCGGAGCCCGCGGGTACCGGTACCGGCGGCCGCCGCCGCTACCGGAGGGGCGGGGCGGGGAGGGGCGGGGCGAGGCTGAGAGGCGCGCAAGTCTCGCGAGAGCTGGCAGGGCACGCTGGGAGGTGTAGTTCTGGCTGTGTGGGGCGGGGCCTAAGCGGAGGGGAGGGCGTGGCTGTGTCGAATGGGCGTGGTCTAATGGAGGGGGGCGGGCGGTTCCCCGGGGGGTTTGGGGCGGGAGCGGGAGAGTTTGGAGCGGGGGGCTGCGCTGCGCCCGCCCCGGCACACCCGCAGCCCGCTCCCATCCGCTGCCCGACCGCGCACCGGCTCTGCCGGCAAAACATGTCGGCCCGCTGGAGGGGAGCCCAGCCCACCCACGGCCCCGGCAGCGGGGCTTGGGGACCCTCGCTGCCCCGCTGCAATCGCCCAGAGGGCCGCGGGGACCCGGCACGGTGGCTCCAGGGGAGGTCCCGCAGCCCCTGGCTCGGGGTTAGGGATGCGTTGTGCCACGGGGAGGGATTGAGGACAAACGCGTGCCGTGAGCAGCGGGCGCAATCCGTGGGTGCCTGCTGCGCTGGGTGCCAGGAGGGTGTGGGGCGTGGGGGCGTCTCCCGTGTCAGCGAACTGGCTGGGGACGGGCTGCTGCCTCCCTCCCCTCATCGTCCCTTCTTCTCCCCACCATTTCTCCGTCTGCCCAACATCCACCCATTCATCCCTCCATCCTTCCATCCCTCCCTTCCTCCCTCCCTCCTTCCCTTCTTCCTCTCCCCCGCGGTCGGAGCGGCCCCTTTAAGCGCGACGGTGACGCCAGGGGCGGGCACATCTGGCGCGGGCTCACCGCCCGCGGGCACAGCTGGGGGACGAGGGGTCACAGCTGCCGGTACCGGTGCCGCTGCCGGTGCCTCATGGCTCCACGCAGCGCCCTCCGGGACCTGATGCTGGCCCTGGGGGCCGTCGTGGCCGCCCTGGGCTCCGTCCTCTTCATCGCCTGGAAGATCTACTTCCGCGGTACCGGCAGCGGCACCGACTGGGGCGGCTGGTGGGAGCGGGAGCTGCAGGAGCTGCGGGACCGAGCTCCCCCCGGTGACGCGGTAAGGGAAAGACAGACCTTCTCCAGGACCCCCGGCCCATCGCGGGGCGGGAAGGGCACAGGGTCGGGATCCACTATATCGGGAGCACCTTGCCAGGGATGGGGCGGGAGGTCAGGATCCCTCTGGGTTCCTCACAGCCCCCGAGACTGTCAAGCTGGGAAAGGGGCAGAAGGTCGGGGTCGCCCCAATGATCAGGCTGGGGAGGGTTCTGGATCACCAGTAGGATCCTTCTGGGCACCTGGGGCTGGGGAAGTGGGTGCAGGGTCAGGATCGCCCCTGGCATTTCGCACCAGGATGACCTGGAGCTGGTCAGACTGGGTTCCCCATGATATTCTACAGGACGATGGCCCTTGGGGACTCTCCTGCAGCCCATCCTGCTGAGAAAGAGATCCCCAGTCTGAACCACTCCTGGAGCCTTGGGTGGAGCTGGGGGCACGTGGGCTGGGGGGGCCTGGCAGGACCCCTTGCTCTGGGCTGGTCCCTCAAACAGCTGTCTGTGCCTGGAGCTGTGGGTCCTGGGACCAGCACTCATCCACCCCGCACCCTGTGGTATCCCCACAGCTGGACTGGCGGCAAGTGCTGGTGCTGGGGCTGGACGGCGCTGGGAAAAGCAGCGTCCTGCACTACATCTGCAGCCAGACGGCCAGAGAGCACATCGCACCCACCTACGGCTTCAACTCTGCCCAGCTCTACGTCGAGGGGCTGGAGATGGACCTGCTGGAAGGTAAGGCTGGGCTGGCCCCATCACATTCCCCGAGACTGAGTCTGCACGGCCTGGAGGGTCCTCCCACCTACTGGCACCGGGCTGGGGTGCAGAGCATCCCAGATGGCAGCAGATCTGGTTCCCCAGGGTGCTGCAGGGAGTTGGCAGCCCCACTCACCCCCATGCTGGTGCCTAATCCTGCCCATCTCCTGCAGTGGGCGGCAGCCAGAACCTGCGATCATACTGGCCTCATTACCTGAGCCAGGCCCACGTGCTGGTGTTCGTGGTGGACTCGGTGGACAGGTCACGCCTGCTGACGGCGCGCCAGGAGCTGCACGCGCTGCTGGCCACGGAGCCCCGGCTGCCCCTGGTCGTGCTGGCCAACAAGCAGGTGGGTGTCCGTCTGTCCCCGCAGGTGTTCCCAGGGCTGTTTCCAGCAAAACTGCCCCTCCACAGTGCCCAGAGGGGAAATACTGATACCCAAAATCCACCAACTCTTTCAAAATCTGATTTCTTGGGGCCTGTCCCCTCCAGTCTTCATCAGGAAGCATTGGCTACAATTACCAGCGCACCAGCTAATGAGTTTCAGGAGAGCACCCAGGCAGCAGCATGCAAAATCCCCAAGGGGAAATACAACCCCCAGGAAGAGGACCGAGCGCATGCCTGGTGCTGGTTCCTATTAGCTTGTGCCAAAGCGATACCGGTGCAAGGGTGAGGCAGCCCTGCCTGCACGCGAGCCCTGCCAGGGCCGCACAGGCAGGACAGGCTCCCCCCAACTGGCAGCACTGCTCCCGGCACTGGCCCCCTCCTGAGCGGCCGCCTCTCTCCCTCGCAGGACAAGAGCGATGCCCTGAGCATGGCAGAGCTGCGGGAGGAACTGGCCCTGCACATGCTCGGCGAGCAGCGGGAGCTCTTCCTCCTGCCCACCAGCGCGACCTGGGCCAGCCTGAGCACTGCCACCAGCGTCCTCCATGTGAAGAACCTGCTGGTCACCCTGCTCTCCCAGCCCGGAGCCTGCCTGGGGGGCGGACAGGCTCCCACCCCCGGTACAGTTCCTCTTCGGGGTCTGTGGTGCGAGGTTGAAGGTGGCTGGGAAGGTGCTGCTGAAGCTCAGACTCACTGGTAGCAGGCTAACAGCCCGGGGGTGTTTGCTGCACCCCATGAGGTTTGGGGTTGAGCTGTGGCACGGCTGCCCTCAGGGAACACGAGCAGCAGGCTCTGCTCTCTGCCATGGGGAGAGGGCAGCCGCCCTCCCAAGTTCAGGGACAAAATATTCCTTGGGATGGAGGCACAGCTCTTACCTCCCGGTGAGTGGGAACGTGCAGCACAGGGCAGGGCCCCACGGCTTGATGGCAGCCCTGCAGAATATTAAATGAATGGGGCTGAACAAGCGAGGTAGCCCTCTCACCCACCAGCACGGACAGGTCATCCCAGGAGGTGGGCTCTCTTTCCTAAAAAACATGAGGAGTTACTGCTGGCACAGCCCTGCCAGTATGGTGCACACCAGAGGGAATAACCAGCTCAGGATGTCCCTCACTGGGGCTGAGCACAGCTCTCAACTCCTCCAACTCTGTATTTAAAGCCCTGTTTAGGGGAGATCAAGTCAGGTACTGGGCAGCCCTGAACTGCCCTTTCACCCTGAGCAGGGGTAAAGATGGGCTGTTTGGTAGGAGCAGCGCTCAGCAGGCATTTGCCCCTCTACCTGGTCTCCCTCCCTCGACTGCCCCAGGGAGAAGGGGAAGGAGCCAGGCTCAGGGACTGCAGGAGGCCCTGCCTGCAGGCGGGGGGCTGCTGGGTCAGACTATGGGGCAATGGGTCCTGGAAAGCCCATTGTGCAAGCTGGGGAGCGCACGAGGGAAAGGGAGTACGCACCGGCCAGTCTCTGCTGTGAAACCTTTTGTAGTCGCTCCTTCCTTTTCTCAATAAAAGAGACCAATCACTCTGTGCTGCCCTCCAGCTCCTTGGCAGGGAGGGGGCCCCCAGCCAGGTCTCCCAAGCTGCAGGCAGAAAGGTTGCTTGCGGGGGAAGGAAGCAGCATGTGGCGCCGCTCCAACCTCTGCTGCCTACAGGGAAATCAACAAAGGCCCAAGTGCTGCCCACGCTCCTCAGGCCCCCAGTCCCATTGCTGCAGAGGATGACATGCAACCCATGCCCCCGTCCCACAGACTGGCACCAGGAGCTCTCTGAAGCAGGACTGCGCCAAGTGAGAGCCCACAAGCAAGACATTCACACCAGTTTGAAAGAGTCATTTATTTTAACAAGGCAAAATAAGTGCTGGCTGCCACGCAGAAAGAGAGTGGCACAGCACATTCAGTCCTCAAAACCACAAGCCACAGCCAAGAGTCTTCCATGCCTGATTATAACTGTCTCTGTCTAATGAAGGTCCTTCCTCCACTACCAGAGGCTTTGCAAGTAGCCCAAGTTGCAGGCATTGAGCCCGTGAGTGACTGTCACCTGTTTGTAAGTCCCTGTTTGCTTCAGAAAATGGTCACGTTAAGCCTGCACTTACAGGCAAACCTGAGAAAAAAAGGCAGTCACTGCACGTCCATCTTTTCCTGCTTGAGTGATGCAATGAAATCCTTGTACTCCTCGGGATAGAAATTCTTGTAGACGTTAATCTTCCTCTTTATCTGCTTGGGAGTATCCTGGTAGTAGTTCTTCTCATCTCGAGCCATTTCCTGTGACAAAGGAGAGCATAAGCCAGAGGAATGGCCCCAAGAACAAACACCAAACCAGCCCAGTCATGCTGCAAAGGCCCACCCCGGCCAGCTGCAATCACTGCCTGACTCAGACAGGGAACTGGCCAAGGTTCAAAGCACTGCTTTCCCTTAACAATCAGCTGTCTGCAAAACAGGATCCAGGACAGAGAGGATTAGTGACTCCCATCCTGCAGAAGATCCAGGAGTGAATGAATCACTGTGGGTGCTCCTTGCTCTGGGACAGCCAGTACATACCTTGTAGTTCTCCCCGTGGTTCTGTATCATGTACCGCACATAGTCAATGAGGTCTCGTGACAGTGTGTTTGACTTCTTCTCAGGGAGACTGGCCTCATATTCCATCTCTAGACAGAGGACAGAGACACCATGAAGCAGGGGAAAGAAGCAAGCATCACCTCAAAGGTCCCCAGCTTCTTCCCAAGATTGAGCCCTGCCAGTACCGTAGAAAGGAGGTGGCTCCTGCAGCACAGCTCGGCTGCTTGCACGCATGGTGCTGCTTCCCAGCAAGATCATGCAGGAAAACAAACAAGACAACAGCCCTCTGCATAGGCTGCAGGCACCCAGTGCTGTGTGTGGTGCAGCTCCTCTCCAGCTCACACCAGGCAGAGCAGAGCCTTTCTGCCCGGGCTGCAGAGTGTGACTGTTCAGAGATGCCCAGCCCACCACTGAAACACAGTGGGTAATGCAGCCACAGTTTCCTGTCACCCTGGTGCCACACATCAGCATGTGTCAGAGTGACAAGAGCCTTCTCGGGGCTGCGGGCAGAAATACTGTGAAAAAGGCAGCACAGGTGGGAGAAGAAAATTCATGAGACAGAGGACACATGGGAACGGTAGAGCTGCTGTCCTGGCTCCCAGCTCAGCTCTGGCCTGGCTGGGAACCCCCAGCTGACCGCTGCCAGGAGGGGTACTCCTCTACAAACCCACAAGCCTGGACAAGAAGTAACATCCTTCCCTGGCTCCTGGCACAGCGCAGAGCTGAGAGACAAAATAACCCACGGGGCCTTGGGAGAACCCCAAATGCAAGGGCAGCAGTGCATCAGGAAACCCGCCAGGGCTGGTGGTGGTGAAACACTCCCTGGGGAGGACAGAAGCGGCACTGACCGTTCACCACGTAGGGCTTCCGTACTATTTTCTTTCCTTGCTCCCATCCACTGCTTTCCACTTCCATGCCCTGTGTTAAATAAGAGAGAAGGCAACTCAAGAAAAGCCCATTTAGAAGAGAGCTATGTCCCCATGTGCTGCTCCCAAAACTCCAAACTGCTTATACAACAGCTGCAAGGATCAAGAAATCTTAAACGGGGCCTTATCCGCGACATTAAGCTAGCCCCTGGGCCAGCCTATTGTCCAAGCAACACTGTGTGAATGGAGACAAGTGGCAAACAAGTCACTCCTGTTTTTTTTTTAAAGTGTGTGATGTTTTGTGGGGCCTGGAAGTGTTGCCACCAACTCAGGCGGGCTGGGCTGGCACTGCTGTAGACCAAGAGGCTTTTCTTTGTTATCAGGAGCAACTCAGCTGCAGTGTTTCCATCCCCACCTCTGTCTGGCAAGTCCCAGGAGACTGACATTATTTATACTCTTTCCAAAGCCCATTATTTATACTCTTTCCAAAGCCCATTATTTATACTCTTTCCAAAGCCCATCATTTATACTCTTTCCAAAGCCCATTATTTCCCTGTGACACCGTAGCTTGTTCTCGTGCCAGGATCTTGGCAAGAGCGTATTAATAAAGATAAGAAACCCATCCACCTGCGGAGACTGACCCAGGCCTGCGCTCCCAGGCAGGCTGCTCTCCACGCTGCTTTTCCCCCAGCCTGGCCGCATGTCCTGGGGGAGGCCTGACCTTCCACCCCCGCCGCAGGAGCGGCCCCAGCCGAGCCCCCCCGCCCTTCCTCGCCGGCCCGCGGCCGCGCTTACCGGCAGCTTCTTCCTGGGGATGGGGACGGCCTTGTTGGGGTCCTCGGCCAGGCCCATCTCGGCCAGGTTCTGCGCCACCGACTTGGAGGGGTCCCAGGCATGGCGGATGTGCGAGCTGCGCGGGGACAAGCACCGGGATCACGGGCTGCGCTCACCCTCCCTCCCCGCGTGGGTGCGTGTGTGTCCCGTCCCGTCCCGTCCGTCCCCCTCCGCCCCGTTCCCACCGACACGTGTCGCCGGTCCCCACGCGGCCGCCCTGCACGCTGCCCACGCGCGGGCCCCACGCCCGCGGGCCGCTCACCAGGCTATGCGCGGGGCAGCGCGGCGGCGGGCGCTGCGGTAGAGCCGCTTGCGGTTGAGGTTGTAGGAGTATTTCTGCCGCCGGCTCTTCCCCTTCGCCTTCGGCATGGCTGCCCCCCGCCGCCGCCGCCGCTCCCACCGAGCGCCGGGGACGCGCCGCGCCGCGGGGCGCCACGGGAAGCGTAGTCCCGTGCCGGCAGCACAGCCCGCGGGGTGCGCCGGATGCGGACTACAACCCCCGGCGTGCCCCGCGGCGGGAGCGGTACCCGCCCATTGGCCGCCGGGAGCGCGCACACCGTGCTCCTGGCTACGGCAGCCGGGGAGGGACGCGGGTGATCACCTTCCCCGCAGCAATGGCGGCCGCGCCTCCCCCGCCGCTGCAGCCCAGACCGCTGCCGGTGTTCAGCGATGAGGGCTTCGGGGATAAGTTCCTGCGCAAGACCCGCGAGAACCCCCTGGTGCCCCTCGGTGAGGAGGAAGGGTCAGGGCGATGGAGGCTGGTGGCAGGGGAGGGCTCTCCTGAGCCCATACCCGAGGGGCTGCCCGGGGGGGGAGGGGTGCCTCTGGTTTGAGGGTGCTGCCTGACAAACCAGCAGCTCTCCGGTGCGGGGGAGAAGGGTGGGAAGGAGGCGGGAGCTGGTCCTCGCAGCCCCGGGCCTGTTCCGCTGAGCCGTCCCTCCTCCCTTCCCCGCAGGCTGCCTCTGCACTGTCGGCGTCCTGACCTACGGACTGATCAGCTTCAAGAGGGGCAACACCCGCCGCTCTCAGCTGATGATGCGGGCACGTATCCTGGCTCAGGGCTTCACCTTCGCAGCCCTCCTGGGAGGCATGGTGGTCACAGCCATGAAATCTCGACAGTGAAATGGGGCAAGAGAGAAGCTGCGGGCGTGCGCCCACCAGCCTGTGATGGAGTTCTCTGAGAGACGTTTGATGCCACGGTGGAGACAGTGTCAGAGATCCTCTGTGTTCTAGAAATGCAACTAATACACCTCTGTGATTAACCTGAAATTTGAGCCGTGCTATTTTTTTGATTCCCTGAGAGCTTATCCTCCTGCAACACTGGAGGCTGCATCTCACAGGCTCTCCACCCCTGTCAGACCTCTTGTCCCTGCTCGGTGCTGTCACAGACTGTTAAAGTTGTGTCCTGTGGGTCGTGGTCTGCACTGAGTTGTGGCTTTAGTCAGGCAGTGCACTGACATGTGAGAAGTGAGCTGCCCAGGTAGGAAGGAACAGCTGTTTATGGCTTGATCCTGGCAGGACAGAGTTCATTAGCAGGAGGTGAGTTGTTTGGGAAGAATGTGTAATCTGTTTGGTTGCAACTGGTGAGCAATAAAGAGAATTGCAGTGAGATTCTGACTGATACTGGATTGCAGAGTGCTGAGAAGCCAGAATAGTAAACAGCACAGGAAGGAAAGGGAGCAGACATGGCTGCCTCAAAGCTGTGGTGGTGCAAGCAGGACACAAGAGATGTAACTCTCCATGAAAACAAGTTGGGAACTCACATGTCCAAAACGGGGCCTTGGCTGCATTCTGGGACACGCTGCTGCTCCGGCTGCTTTTAATGGGAAATCGGTTCCAGCTTCGTGTGAGCTGGGACTGGCTGCTGAGCAAGTGCCTTCTTCCCAGAGGGAGCTGCACTGCCTGTGTCGTGACAAACATTGTCACGGGCGGCTCTAAGTCCCGCTGTTGGCATTGGATCGTTTGGATCATACCGGGAGTGTTTGGTGAGCGGCGAGGCTTTGCTCTCCCGTGTCAGGGCAGCAGAGCAAGGGGGGAGACAGGGCCATAGGCTCTGGTTGCTGCGTGGCTGCGGCAGCTTCTACCTGCCTGTAGGCAGAGCGTACCTCTGTGGGGCACAGACACCACTGACCCTGCTGCAATGCCTCCTCATGCCAAGCTGCCTGGGGCATTTCCAGGCTTTGCTCTCTGGGTGCTTGCATGTTGGTGCCTGCACCCCAGCACTTCTTGGCCTGTGGTGGCTCTGCGGCTTGCTGAGCCCGCTTTGCCCTTGCAAACTTCTCTGGAGGACAGAGTGAGGGATAAACGCGCTTTACAGACTTTACAAAATGCCCACAAACGAGCGTTTGGTTTGTCCTGTCCAGGGAATTGCGCTCGTGGGCCTCAGCAAGGAGAGAGGGAAGGCTTTTGCCCACCAGAGCTGACTTCTGAGACCCGAGGTGGGGGACAAGACAGAACTGAGCAGGGTGAGCTCCACGTCAGCACTGGGGAGCCCGGGGTGCTGCCTGCTTCTGTGGGTGGCTGCCTGCTCAGCACATCTTTCCCAAAAGCAGCCACTTTTGGCTGCCTCACTGGCACTTCCAGCCCAGCCAGCTTGGGGCAGGGGTGGGAGAAGCAGCCGGTGGGCAGACCTGTGAGTGCAAACCCTCAGCAGCCCGATGATGGGCAGTGGGCCGGGGAGCAGCTCCTGGGGGGCAGAGCAGAGCCCCCCGGGGTCCTGCTGCTACTGCTTCTGTCCTGACTTAGCGCAAACCCCCTGGCCCTTCCCCTCGCTCCTATTTTTTCCTGTATGATGTGGTTCTCCTCCAGTCTCATCCTTTCCGCAGGAGGCTTTGTGGCTGTGAGTTCTAAACACACATGTGTGTGCTGCTGGAGCAGAAAGACAACAGTGCCCTGTAGGATTGGTGATGTCGGTTTATTGTAACAGATAATTTGAACAGTTACAGATACTAAAGCTGAGGGGATGTAGAACAGCTGTGGGCACGGCTCCCCGGGAGCTGCCTGCCCCTGCCTGATGTGGGGTGCACGGCAGCTGGGCAGCCCAGGGGCCTGGCTGCCTGCAGAAGGTGGGGAGACAGTGTGCAGGGGGGCTCCTGGCCCCCGAGAAGCAGCCAGAGGCGCTTCCCGCTGCACTGTGGTGAAAGGCAGAGGCAGGCAGCCGAGTCCCCGGGTATCCTGCATTGGTGTCCATCCCGCACCGCAGCAGAGCTGCCTACACATGCTGGAGCACAGGGGGACAGAGTAGGAACGATCAGCCCTACGGATAAGGGGGCACAATCCCAGCACACAACACCAAGTGACTCCCTACGCACCCATTTCCCTTCCCAGCCCACGGCTGAGCCTGTGCCCCAGAGCCAGGGATGCTGGGCACCCCACGAGGGCTGCAGCAGCAGGGCAGGTAACCTTCCTGGCTTGTGGAACCATAGCTGCAGGGCAGTATTTCTCTGCATACTTGCTTTTGGGCTGAGCAGGGCTTTGCAGTGAGGCTCAAGCAAATGCTTTCCAGGCTTTGTTCCATGTCCCCCCCAGCCCACTGCTGCAAGCCCTTCCCCAGCAGGCCAGACCTGGGGCATAAGCTCAAGGCTGCCCTGCAGCAGGGTGTGTGCAGACCTGCCCTTCTCTTGCCAGCAAAGAGTTTTGCAGGATTCCAGAGCTGGAGGGGCTGGTGGCGGCCCCGCCAAGCAGAGGAGAGAAAGCTGGTGTCCAGGCTGGAAAGCATGTGCCTTGTGGGGCAGGGAGCAGGACTAAGGCATCTTGCCAGGCTGCCTTAGGCATATCCAGTGGGGGACAGAGAAGCCACAGAGCAGCTGCAGCCAAATGTGTGGGTTGTTCTCTAGGGACAGAATAAGCACCAGCTCCAGGCCTGTGACCAATCCTGCTCTAGGCCCTTGGGTTAGGAAGCTGGGGGCTCAACCTGCTCCACAGCAGCTGGACCTTTCTACCTCCTTTCCTGCAACAACACAGTCTCCCATCTCCCATCCTAATAGCCAAGGAAGGAGCAGAGCAGAGCCAAGGGCCCCTGAAGGCTGGCACCCCACATTCCCAGCTGCTGGTGGTCTTGGAGGAAGGACAGAAAACATCGTGCACACTCATCCCCTGACCCCTTCCCAGTGCCCTGCACAGGATAGATGAGACACAGACACTGCAACTGCTGCTCAGAGCCCCACCAGCTTTTTGGTTTGCACAGCCAGGCTGGGGAGAGTTCTGCTGGGCTTGGGGCAACTGCTGGCAGTCCCAGCCCAGCCTGGGTGCCTGCACTGACATTCCTCAGTCCCTGTTAGCCTGGCAGCATCACGCTGCAGTCTGTGCTCCCGGGAGGGCCTAGCAGTGCAGAACTGAGTCAGGGCTGCTCCTCCACCCTCCCAGCCCCACACCAGCTCTGCTCTAGACCCCATGGGAAAGGCAGATGGCAGCCTGGGGTCCCACTAAGATCACTGCCCTGGGGATAGGATCTAGGTCCAGACACCAGGCTGCCATGCCTGGAGCTGCCCAGCACCACGATGGCTGCAGGCAGGTTTATTTCCAGCATAGGGATGAGGTGGGGAATACGGGGTGGGGTGTTCCCCCTCTCAGCCTGCCAGGCCACTGGGCACAACCTCCCACAGAGCCCAGGCCAGAGGCTCCCCCACTAGCTCAGCTCTGCCACCCAGTGCCGCTTCCCAGGGAAATGCCACCGTAATAAATAAGTGTAAAAAGAGACCGATGCACCTTTTAAGCAAAGGAAAACCATGGAGAGAGTTACAACCAGTGACTTGAGCACAGCCAAGGCAGGCACCAGGGAGCAGCAGGCAGGCAGGGTGAGGCCCCTCCTGGGCTGGCCCCACGAAGCCGCCCAGCTCAGTGAGCCTGGCCTTGCCCTGCTGCACTCCCGGCTGTGCCAGGCGGCAGCTAACGGGACAGGGGCGTCTGTTTGAGGGAGATGAGCACCGAGCGCATCCGCGAGACATCCTTGCTCTGCTTGCTGCTCTTGGGGTTGAAATCACAGAGCTGGGCCACCTTCTCCCACTCGGAGCCTGGGGTTTCCTCCTTGGACTCCTTCAGGAATGCTTCCTCTGAGGCCCTGCAAAGACATTGAGGGTTGTCACTGGCAGAACCCTTTCCAAGGAGACCCTCCCCTCTCTCTGGGAACCCCTTGTGTCCCTGCTTCCTGTCCCCTTGCGCCACCCGATGAGCTCAGCATCCTCCAGGATTCAGAGACACGCTGCGCAGGGATGCTGTTGGCTGCACTCACCCAAGACATCATTCATCCAGGGGCACTGGGGTGACTGCCTGCTCCCAACACTTCTCCACCCTCAGAGCCATCCACTAAAAGGCACAAGACCCCACAGCTTTGCCTCTTCAGCCAGCTTCCACAGAGGCATTTCCAGGAGCTCTACTTGCCTCCTAAGGCTCCACCATTTGGAGACATTTAGCTGCATCATCCTCCCTCCAGGACCTCACCAGGGCCCAGTACCTCCCAACATCCCCCCTTCCCTTGGCTAGGCAGCGAGTGCTGGGGCCAGGACCCCTAGACCCTGTGGGGCAGGATACAGTCTGTAAGAGCACATACACATAGCCAATCACATCGGCGTCCGGCTGCTGGTAAAAGGCTTTGTCAGCGATCCTAGCCCCCGAGGCACAGACAGAGAGAGAGCGCAGAGTGGACAGGCACGCAGAGGGTTAGAAAGAAAGAAACAGAGAGGGGGTTAGCATCCTCCCACAGAGTGTGACCCACTCATCACAGAATACACAGCACCAGGAAAACCTGCCGGTGACAGCAGGGCTGCACAGACAGTGCCCCAACCCTGCACTGATGCAAGGCCCACGCAGGGGGCAGGAGGCACTGAGATCCCAGGGTGGTCCCAGACAAGGTGTCTCTGCACAGCCACCAGCGCCGTTCAAAGCCCTGGAGCCTCTCCCCTTGTCTGGCAAAGCTCCATCCCTGCAGGGCTGGGCCCTACTGTGGGAAAAGAGGCCCCAGACATCCCAGGAAGGCAGATCCGGTTGCACAGCATCTCCCATCTCAGCCCTTGTGGCCGTGCTGACCCTGACATACCTGTTGTTTGCCCGGTTCTTCTCCATCTGCTCATTCTGACGCAGGTTCCACTCCTCCAGGTCCTTCTTGGCCTTCTCACGCCATTCCTGCTCAGTCACCTTTGATGCAGCATCTAAGGCCAGAGCACGACAGACCCCATCAGCCAGACTGGCACCCATTGGGTCTGCCAGGCAGCCCTTTGGCAAGCAGGACAGCTGCAGCCCCCGAGGCCTGTCCCCAGTCCCCATGAGTACTGTCTGAAAGGCATCACTGCCCCAAGGACAGCTGATCTTTGGCAGGGGCACCTACATAGCGTGGGGCACAAGAGACACCTCTCTGGGAGGCAGCAAGGGTCACTGCCAGAAGAGGGACCCCAAGGGCCCCAACTGCTGCATCGCAAGGTGCCACGAGCGTGGCCACACATGGCCTTGGGTCTCACCCAGCTCCTCCAGACGCTTCTTCTGCTCCTCCCTCCACTTGCGGATGCTCTCAGGTTCCTGGGTCAGCCGGTCAGCCTTGGCTATGGCTGCGTAGGCATCCGTGGGACCATTGGACTCCTGCGGGACATGTGCACCTCACCATCAGCACCAGCTCTTCCCACAACCTGGCTGCCTCGAAGGGCTGGCAGCAGCGCAAGACTCCACAATCCCAGCACTCAGACAAGCCAAGATAGGAAGTAGGGCAGGTGACAGCCTGGGAGTGTCCCCAAAGCACTGCTCAGGCTGCTGTCCCAGCCCCAGGCCCTGTCACCCAGAAAGACTTCCTAGCATTTCACTCCTTGACTTGCTGCTCACTGTCAACTCAGTGCTCCCATCCTCTGCGCAGCCCCATGGCAGAGAACAGCCACCAGCTTTGTGACACGCTCCCCACCTGCACCGGGCTTCCTTGGCTCTGACTAGGGCCGAGGCAGCCCCAGGACTGAGTGTCATTGCAGGCTTGGCCACAACAGATAGGGAGAACCCAGGCGAGAAGCAGGGCTACCGCTCTCTGCCTGGGCACCAGCCTGTAGGCAAGAGCCTCCCTCTTTCCACTGAGCTGAGCTGCCTGCATGGCTCCCACCAGGCCCAGCACCATGCTGGCTCAGCACCTCTCTTAACACCTTCTGCTGGCCAGGATGCCCAGGCCAACATCAAGCTCAGCAATGGGATTACAGCTTTCCTCCAAGATCCCCCAATCTAATTAAGTCTGTCCCGTTTCTGATGCGATTATCATCCCTTAAACTTAGGCACAGGCAACGCACATGCCACACTGCTGGGCACTGAGCGGGGTGAAGGGCTTGTCAGATGCTGCCACAGCTTCGCCCGTAACCAGCAGAGCTTGGTTTCGGGTTCCCAGAGGGAGCAGAAACCCATGTGGGTGGCCCCCATGAAACACCCTTGGCCGTGGGGCAAGTGGGTTTAATGGGAGATGCTGACAAGTCAGCAAAGTGAGCGTCCCATAGCAGCCCTGTCCTGGTTTTGGCCTCTGCAAAGAGATGCTCCTGACTGCCCTGAAGGCATACAGGAGCTACCCAGGCTGGAGAGAGGGGGCTTCTGTGGGGAACAGAGGATTTGTCATCTGCTCTTAGGGCTCAGGCACTTCTTCAGGGCACAGGCCACCTGCCAACAGATTTGGGGCAGGTCATGGCAGGTGGGACCAATCTTCTCTTCAAGGAGGGGTGAGAATGGAGCAATCAAGACTCCCCATGAGACCCAGACCTTTCCAGGAGCATCACAGCTGTTTGGCGGCTGCATAGCAAACTCCAGCCAATCCTGGGGACAGAGAAGTGGAGTGCTGGCCCCATACCCACGCCATCCCCCTTAGCACCACTGGGCTGGGGCAAAGGACTGAGCTCTCACCTGAAAGACATCTCCATTGACAGTGGCTCCTCCATTCTGGAAACCAGCTAGAGAAGAGAGAAAGAGAAACACAACTTTGGCAGCTGCAGGTGATCCCAGAGGGGCTGGTGTTCATGAAATTGAAACAAATCAGTTCCTGGGAGTTCATCTGTGCTTGTGTTTTCAGCCCAACACAGCCATCCACAATAGCCTCGCGTGTGTGTGCCAGGCCCCAAGGTCTCCTGTCCTTGGTGAGACTCAGCCAGCATCTCTCCCTCCCCCAGACAAGCCTCTCCAGGCATTTATATCTTTACAATGTTTTCACTGGTGTTTTATCTTATCTGAAAGCTAGGGAAACTGTTCCAGGCACGAGGCTGAACACAGGCAGGTGCTCTGACTGTAGAAAGACAACCAGACCAAGCCCGACCAGCAAGCAGCCAGGCAAAGGCTCCCAATGGACACAGACAGCTGACCCAGAAGCTATCGGCTGAGTGCCCAGCAGTGCAGGGCTGCAAAGGAAAGGCAATCCTGCCAGGGACAGAGCCCACAGAAACACTGCAGCGTGTTCCACCAGGAGAGGAGGGCAGGCATGCACACCGAGGTCCTTGAGAGCCAACCTGGGGGGATGGCCCTAGGATGAGCTGCAAGGTTAGGGCTGGGAATGAGACACCTCCAACACCCATAGCTGGGGTACAACCCCATCTGCCCTCCAGCCCCAGAGAACACCAAAAGCTGCACAGCAGGGTCAGAAGGCCAGCCCAAGGCAGGGATCTCTGCTGCTGGGAGAGAAGAGGCTTTGAAGGAGGCATACTCAAGGCCCTGAGCATTCCCCAGTGATAACCCCAGGGCCTCTACCAGCTGGCTAGCTGCAGGCACAGGCTGCTGCACCACCACAGCGCAGCTCAGGCAAACACCATCCCCACGGTGCTCGCCCCCATGGTGTGACTCCAGCTACACCCATCTCCAGCCTGTCTGACTGCATTTATCACTGCAGCAGTCAGCACCTCTCCTGGCCCAGGTCTGCCTCCACAGCCCTGTGTGTGAAGAGGCGAGACCACTGCTCCACAGCCAGCACAAGGAGGTCGTATGGGCCTGGGTTAGGAGAATGAGCCAGACTATGGTGGCTGCAGCATCCCTATGTCCATTTGGAGACCAGACCCCGGAGCCCCTACAAACTGGAGGCAAGAGATCAGGATTAGCACTTTCTACCTGGAGGGCCTGGGACCACAATGTCCCCAATGGAAATACTTTCTGTTTTGCATTCCAAAGGGCTCTCCCATCTGTGGGGTCAGTGACAGGGATGTCATCGCTCCTCCGCTCTGCCTGGATGCCTCTCACATCGCTCTAGCTGGGGGCACTGAGAAATAGCGATGGGTGTCCACCCAACCCAGAGAACCCAGCCTGAGCACAGAGAAGAAATCCCCTCACAGCTGGCACGTCCCAGCTCACGACTCACCCCACATCCTGAGGTTTCAGAGCGACCCTCAACATCAAGCCCTTTGGGACCAAGCACAGGCCCCTTGCTGGGATGGAGGCCTAGTGCACCGGGCAACGCCGCCGCCTGCCCGCTGTGGGTGCAGCATGGACCCCAGCACCCACCACGGATGCTGCGTGTCCCACGGGGGGTGCAGCCTGGGGGGAGACCCTCCCTCCTCTCGGGGAGGAGGGGGCACAGTTCTCCTGGACACCCGCGGGGGTGGCAGCCCGCTCCGTGCCCGCCCAGCTCACCCAGTTCCGGCGGGGCCGCCTGCCCGGCGGGGATGGCGGCCGATTCGCCGTCGGTCGGCCCGAAGCCCTCGTCGTTCTCGATACCCGCGATCTCGCTCTCCTGCTGGGCCAGGAAAGCGGCGGCCGGGTCCTCCTCGGCGCCAGCCCCTTCGGACGAGGAAAAGAAGCCGAAGTCGTCGGCCATGGCCAGCCCGCCCCGCTCCCGCTCCTGCTAGGCGGCTCGGTGGGGCTGGGCCCGAGTGGGCCCGGGCGGAGCTGTCACTGCGGCGGCGGGCGGGGCATCAGCGGCGCGGCCCCGGTTCCCCGCCCATCGCCGGGCGGAGCCGCAGCCTGCTGCCGGCCGGAGCCGCCGCGGACCGGGCATGGGGGACCGGGCTCTCCGGACCGCGGTCCCGGGGGACCGTCCCCACCCCCGCGCACACTCGTAACTCTCCGGGACGGCAGCGGGCGACCCCTCGCAGCCGCCATCTTGGGTGGCGGCCGCCATCTTGGGTGGAGCTGCCGCCGGTGGACCGGACACGCGGCAGGACCCACCCGGGGGGTGGCTGACAAGCAGCCCAACCATCTCCCGAGGAGCTCCGCTCCACAGCCCACCCGCGGGACCCGCTCCCACAGCCAAAAGCAGCCACCCCCCACCCCCCCACGGGCCAGCTCCGGAAACGTTCGAGGGGCGTTCTGGACACTTCGAAACTCTTCGTGCGCCCGGGGTGGGGGGTGGGGGGGAAACACCCGAGCGCGGCGAGATTCGGACATTTCCGGAAAGGTCCGGGAGCACTTCGGCTTTCTTCGGAGCGCGGCCGAGCATTTCCGGTTCTGGCCGATAAACGGCCATCGGCTTCACGACGGCGTCGCGCGCACCCTGGCGCCGGGGCGGAAGTGCGGGTGTCAGGCGTCAGTTCCGGCTGAGTGACGGAGCGGCGGGTCAGAGGCGGCGGCAAAATGGCGGCGCCTGAGGAGCGGGAGCTGACGGCGGAGCAGACTGAGAAGCTGCTGCAGTTCCAGGTGCCGCGTCGTGGCGGGGGGCGTGCGGCCGGCGGGAGCGGAGGGGGCGGCGGCGCACGGAGCGGGATGGGCTGGGGTGGGACGGGACCGGCTTGCGGCGGGCCGGGGGGGCCGGGGCTCACTGAGAGCCGGGGCAGGCCCTGCCTGCAGCGGGCCTGGCGGTGCCGGGCTGGGCCTGAGGAGGGAGGAGAGGAGAGCCCCGCAGTCCCGGTCCTGGCGGGGGCACGGGTGCTTTCCGCGGGGGCGAGTAAGGCTCCTGCGTGGGGTTTGGGCTCCCTGGGCTTCAGGCTCGCCCGGGCAGGGGCCTCGCTGAGGGGCCGGTCGGTGCTATGCGTGCCTCGAGTGCTTCATTAGGAATGGTGTTCTGTCATCGCTAATTGGGGAGGCAGGAAGTGACTGCTGAATAAACCCCATTAACTCCATACGGGAAAAACTCCTCGGTAAGTCCCGGCCATTTTAATTAGGTAGTCTGAAAAACTCCCTTTCTTGTCGTTAGTGGTGAATGGACAAGCCTTTCCTGGTGTCTTGGGAGGGTTAGCCAGTGGGTTTCTGTGGAATGTGGTTTCTCAGAAAATTGTTTCTAACCCTCACAGTTTGGTAGTGCCTACTGGGGGGAGGCCACTGGGGATAGTAATGATCTAATCTTGCTGTCTGCTGCATAACATGGGCTGGGTTGCTTAACCTTTAGCTTGCCAAGGCCTCAGGGCTATGCAGCAGCTGAATAATTAAAAAAACCCTAATCAACAGATGTGGTTTACTGGTGAGAAAACAGTGCTGCGGAGCTGAAATACTTAGGGTTGCTCAGTAAGAAGTAATTAAACATGCTGGCCAATGAAAATTATCTTCAGGTGTCTTGGGTTTGTTTCTGAATGCTAGGGCATCATGTGGTGTTCCTTGGATTGCAGAGTTCTTTTACAAATACAATATTTACTTTTAAGAGTGCTTTATCTGATGTTGTTGCTTCATATTCATGGTTTTTGAGATTGTGGTTTGCATTTTTTGGTGTGATGTAACTGTAGAATTATAGAACTTAAAGGGACTTCAGAGGCATTGAGCCCTGCCTTCTGAAGCTGAGAGGTGCAGGGGTTCCTCATCATTCCAGACAGATACTTGCCAAGCCTTTACCTCTGAGCCAGGGGGATTCAACAACCTCCTGAAGTAACTAATGTATTACGGTGTTTTTCCATGACTATATCTGAGGAGCCTTTTTTTTACAGATATCCCCTCTAAATATTTACTGAAAATTAAGCTGTTTGGGCAATCTTAACTTATAAAGGAGGCAGAACAATGTTAACAATTGATTTTCCAATGCTACCATTTCCATGGTAAGTATATGAGGTTTGAGCCATTGCCTAATGCTGCACATATATATGTGTAAAAGCTGTCCTCCAGCTTCCACTCTCTTACTGTAAGATATCGTACTTATTAATCTACTGAATCTGGACAGATAGGACCAGCTGCACTCATCAGTGTCCTTGTTGCTATTTTCAAACCCCTGTGGGCAGCTGTGAAGCTAAAGAATCTTGTTTCCTAATGCTACCTGGTGTTGCCATGGTCAGCAGGCTGGGGGCTTGAGGGGAAGAAGGCATAAGGAGGGATTTATGTTTTAGTCCAGCTTCCTGTTGAGCCCTGGTTTGAAGTGGAGGAAAAATGCTCCTTAGACTATAAAGAGAAGAATTTTTTTCAGTTATAAGACATCTGCTATCCAGAGCCTGATGTGAAAGCTGTAGTACAGGAGGCTTTGATACCAGGATACTCTGTTTTTTCTGTCCCCTGGGGTATATGGTATTAGCTTTTCACCCAGCCTGTCCTAATGATAGACTTCAGTGGTGGTTCCTTCTCCTCTGGTACTTCACACCTGCCTGAGAGGCTCAGGTGTGCAGTCCTGCTTGATTCTTTAAATGAGGTAGAGTAAATCAGTCCATCTGGAAAAGATTTTTTTTTTTTTTTTTTTTTCTTGTTTCCTTTAGCTGGACTCTGTTAAATAGCATTTGCTGTTTGGAGAGGGTGGCTAAGTCTCAGTAAAATAATTTGTACATTGCTATTGCTGCAAAACACTGTTATAGTTAGCTTGTAAAACTTTTGGGGATTCCCACAGTCTTTGCCGGGAACACTTAAAGATTTTTCAACGGTAACTTTACACTTTCATTGTGATTCACTTTCATAAGTAATTTGTACCGTGTTACGTGGTGGCAGAGTGTTGTACTTTCACAGAAGGTGGCATGCCACTGCAATGTGAATAAATGTGGAGAGTGGACCAGGAAAGAAAGGAGTGGGGATAACAAAGATGAGGTAAGCAATAGCAGAAGGCCCTCTGTAGTGTTACAGTTAACTAGAGAGCCAGAAGGGAAGCATTGAACAAGAGCTATAGACTGCCATTCACCCAACAAACAGCAGGTCTGGCTGAAGATGCTGTTGCCCTACACTGTTTATCCTACTTCTGCTGGAAATTGCTCTTTCCAAGGTAGAGGTGAATGCATGCTATCCCATTTGTGACCCAAGCCATCGGGGTTACAGTTTAAATACGTGCTTTGCATTAATTCTACTGAGGTTTGCTTGATGTGTTTTTATAGTGCTCCTATAAACAGCTCTGCTGGCAGAATGGTGGAAGTAGCAGCTCTCTTCCTGCAGGCAGGGCTCAAATAGGACAGTGGTCTGCCACCCTGCTAGGGCAGGTTAATGGAGTGAAAAAAAAAAACTACCATTATGGAGAGGTAATTGGGATAAACTTGAAATAAAAGCAACAAAGCACTCTTGCATGCTTTCTGCCTCCCGTTTACTGCAGAAGCATTGGCTAATGTAAAAATAAAAGCATCTGAATTTTTCATCTGTCAAGACTTGGCTGTCTTGTCATCTGTAGAGAGAAAGTTGATGTGAATATCTTAAGCTATGGAGGTACAGTTTCATTTGGAAGATGGAAGAAACAGCAAAGCAGCTTTTGTAGGATCTTGGTATTGATCTGTGCCCATTACACTTGGGATGATGTCTAATGTTATAATATGCTAATGTAAAGTAATGGAGTGTTATTTGCAGAGGCGAAAGTTAGCACTCACATTACCATCTCAGACTTCAACTGGGGAAAACAAAATGCTCAGGACTGAAAACATCTTTAATTTAATGAGGAAGGAGGAGACAAACTCCAGGCATATTTCCTACTTGGTGTATTGCGTATTGATCAAAACCCTCATAAAGGCATTTGTTGTAATATGCAAAGAGAAACTCTCAGTAATGGGTTTTGGTTTTTTTTTTGGTTTTTTTTTTTTGCTTGAAGTCAGATGTTCTTTACCCTTGGAAACGTAATTCTCTGGAATTTGGCAGTGGGTTGGGAATTGAGCAGTGCCAGTTAGTGCTGTGGATTTTCTTCTCTTACACTGTGTTTCAACATCTGAGCATATCTGCAGAGGGAACAGTTTCGTAAGTCCGGTTTACAACCTTTGTCCACTCAGGGGTATTCCTTCTGCTTTTGAAGCGTGGAATTGCACTTTCCATTTCTTCAGTATCAAGAAGATTTTATCATTCTGAGCAGTCTCAAAGGTGAAAGATGCAAATAATCGTTTCCAGCAGCAGCTTCAGTATGTTTTAGGGTAGCACTGTGCTTTGAGTGATGCTTGAGAAGACCGTGTTTAACTTTTCTGGCATTTGTGGCACTTAATATTTTGTTTTCTAAATATTATCTACTGTCTTGAGCTTGTATCTATATTTATTTGAAGGTTTAAGGGTGCTAGTTCAATGGGACTAATTTTAACTACAGGGGGCTTTATCTTTTTATTACTTATTATGACTATGTAAGGTATATGCTCTTCAAGGCAGCTAATGAGAGACTGCAGTGAGTAGGAAACTAGCAGTGACTGATTTGAAGACACTGTTTTCTTAGCCTTAAGAATGCTAAGAACATGCTTGTTTGTTTGGCACATGAATAACACAGTTTGCAGCTAGCCATGAGGTTCATCAGAAATGCTATGACTAGTGCAGTGGAAATGATGTGGAGTTTTAAGTTTCTAATCTGTTTCTGTGACTAAGGTGAAGCAGTGGCCGTAGAAGGTACTGAAATAACAGTATAAGTGGTCATTGAGAGTGATAATGAACAGTATTGGTGTTTACCAGCAAGTGTTATCTAAACTGACAGTTGAACTGTGTTCCTGCAGTTCCTTACATTGAGTGCAAATCGTTATGAACCCATATGT